CAGTCGCATTTGTTTTGCGAGTAGATGCATGTCGTTGTTAGATACGTAGTAAATCTTCAGGGCGAGATGACTCCACCAATGGGTACAACATTGCAGCATATTTGTCCTTAGTTACTCCTAGAGATTCCAACGCTCTTAAGTGTGATTCAAGCTCATCATAGATAGTGGATAATGGAGTCTTTTCTTTAGGCTTCATTGCATTGTTAAGCACTAATGTTAACAATTCTTTTATGTAGACTTCCACTAGTAATTCGTTTTTTTTTTAAATCTGCTTATTGAACTATTTATTGCTTTCTCATGATTTTCACTTTTTGTTGGGAAGCTATTTATTAATTCTGCTGCTCTGGAACCTGGATTCATAAATTGAATTAAATATTGAAATTTATCTTCTGTGCTGAGTTTTTCGTCTTCATAAATATTTTTGAATTGACTCCAAAATTGTAACCAATCTTTGATTTCACTACTGAACTTCTTAACCTCAATTTTTGGTAGTTTACATTTTTTATTTTAATCTTGTCCTTGAGATGCCGTGAGTCTTGATTCGTTTATCGACGGTTGATATGCTATGGTTGCTCTGTTGATAATTTTATTGACCTCTAGTTTTGCACGTAAGAACTTAGCCGTATATTCCGTTGTGACGTCATATTCATCTGTTGGCTCCTCTAAATCATTTTCAGCTATAATATCTTGAATTCGTTGATGTAACGTATTCAATTCTAATTCTCTTGCTTCAAGCAATTGAAAGCTAACTTGTATGTTCTCAACTATAGGGGTTTCTTGATTTAGATGCTCTTGTAACATCATGAAGGAACGCGTAACCGCTGTACGCACCGGTCTTCGTGCCTGTCTCAACTTTTCTAGAACGACTGCCATTGCTCATCAAAGTACAAAAGAAAACCTCAAGCACTCAATATTAATTACTATTTCAACTGTGTCTCGTCACGGTCGCCACAATGTGATGGACACACTTTATTTTAATATGAGGCTTGTTGCTTGTAAATGAATCTTCACTCTAAATTTGTGTATTTTTACTTTTATTCAACTCACACCGTTTACATAGATGATGACTATCCGCCATATACAAAAATACTAACACTACTAAGAGATTACATGTATATAAAGACGCGCTCTGTCGTCACAACAATGATGTCGATCGTAACCGAAGGTTAAAATTCACCAGCTACGTTAGAAAATTAGTTCTTTCTATTTATTTGGCGTTAATTAAAATAATGTTTATGACAAAATACTTAATGTAGTTTGGCATTGGTAAAACTTACAGTTGACTACCCTTTTTTAAAATTTTTTTTTAAAAGACTATACCTACATGACTTGAAAGAAAAAAAAGGATTTTTCTACCTCTTTGTTTAGGAGATATAATTACTTAAAGTTATGCAAAAATATATGAGTTCTTATGACTGTCCTTGTTCAATTTTACCGGAAATTGATGATTTATAAAAAATTGGCACAGTTGACCCACAGTAAAAAACATCTTGATATAAAGAATATGACTTGAAATGTATTTAAGTTAAATTTCAACATGATTCACCACACAGTTTTTCTGAAATTTATGTTTTAACATTGCAACTCGGTGTTTGCCTTTGTTTCTCCACCATATTTGCTAGGAAAAATGGCGGCAATGTTAATCAAAACAATTTATATAAATTAAAGTTTTTCTTTTATTATGTTTTGACGTAGAGTAACATAATATAGTTTTTAAGTGAATGTCTGTAAGTATGTATGGACGTGTGTACGTTCGAAATTATTTTTTGTTTCGATCATCTCGACAACAAAAAATGATATCATAGGACCAAGTTTATTTAACACATAATTACGTAACTTGAACCTGATTAGATTTTCAGCAATGTCGATGGAGCTGTTTGTTTCGCAGAAAAAAAAACTAAAAAGTGAACTTTCTAAATTTTGCTAGGAATAAATGATATGATCTGAACATCTGCACAGTAAAATAATAGTCATAATTATATAATATAAATGTTTGTATAAATAGTAAAAAAATAATTAACTGAATAAAAAAAAGAAAGATTTCGCTATAACAATAACATTTGTTATAAAAAATCAGAAATAGATTCCACTAAAGATTTTAGCACAGTTTTAACAAAAACTGTAACTAACTGTGCTGATATTCAGATGTTGCCAAATTCACTTAAGTTCTCCCCACTCTTCGGTGTTCACCGATGACAGACGCAACCAAGATTCAAAATTTGGTAACGCTGCAACCAGAAAACTATTGCGGCGAATCCCTCATTGGGTGACCAACGTCGTTAGGTTACGCATAGTGACCAATCTAGGGTTAATGTAAATCAGAATAAACTCAATGATCTTATGTGGGAAAAATTGGAAATCTACATGGATAAGTTATTTTATTTGTTCTTAAAATATCATTATAATTCTACAAATAGAAGATTTTAATCAGCCCATGTCACCTTGTTGGTAACTTTCTGATAGTCGAAGAAAAATTGTCCCGTCGGAAAAATTCAAATTTATTCTAGAGATCTCGTTTTCAATTGTCTAAAACAAATTCATTAGTAATAAACAAATATAATCCATTTAGATCGATATTCTATCGTTAGTAATCCTATTACAGTCAGCGAACAAATTTTTCATTAGAAAAACTCAAATTTATTGCATAAATCCCATTTTTAATTGTTTATAACAAATTCAATTGTTATAAACAAATAAAATTCATTTGGATTCATATTCTGTCTATGGTAATTTTATTTTAGTCAAAAAAAAGATTTCTCGTTGGAGAAACTCGAATATGTTGCGTAGATCCGATTTTTAATTGCTTATAACAAATTCAATTATTATTAACAAATGAAGTTCATTCAGTCCTATGTTTCGTCGTAAGTAACTTTATTTTAGTCAAAGAAAAAATTTTTCGTTGGAGAAATTTGAATATGTTGCATAGATCGAATTCATTATGTGGATCCTGTTCTCAATTGTTTGTAATCAGTTTAGGTGTTATAAACAAAAAAAGGTTTTATTAAACTCTAATGATTCAGAACATAATTTATGTCAAGTAATTTATTAATATGGATGATATAGTGTGAATGAAAATATTGCGTGAATAACGATATCGCGTCAATGACTATATAGATAATGTAGCGTGAATGACGATATTGCGTTAGTGACGATATTGCGTAAATAACGATATTGCGTGAATAACAATATCGCGTCAATGACGATATGGATCATGTCGCGTGGATGACGGCATTCGTTTTAATTCAGTTAACGCGTCGTTCACGCATTTATCGTGATTCACGCGAGCCTTCGTCATTCAAGTTTTTCTGTACATTTAGACACTTCGATAATTTTTACAAGTAGTGTATGCCTTGAATACAAGGACATATATTTATATCATTTACGAACAGGTGGTCGTGACTTTTTTCGCATAATGTCCATAATTACATTACACAGTCATTGATGGCTTAACGAAAATATTAAATAATAGTTTTGTACTTTGAATAAGCCAATTTTCAGTGCGTATTACGTTATGATGATATTAAAAAAAAAAAACCAATTGGTGGGTATTTATAATGAACGGAGAAAAATTTAAATTTTATAGTAAGATTCAATTTTTGCTAGTGTTCTGACTTAAAGGGCCCCAAGTCAGTTAGTTATAAAATATTCGAATTCGTCTGATACCGGGCTTGTCTACCGGTGCTTAAGTCAACTTCCTGGATCAATAGTCGACAAGGATTTTCCTCACGGTCCAGCAGACAACTCTACGGCCCTAGTGAGGCCACCAAGCATGTGATCGAACACTTGTGACGTCAGTAAGCTCCAGGCAAATCAAGCAGGTGAATCTCTTAGTTAATTTACCGGCGATTCACTAAATTTATAGTAATAACTCACTCGCGTATTAATTAAGTGCCCAGCAACTCCAACCAGCTCTAGTGGTCCAGAAGAATCAGTTTTGTGGCTTTAGGCGCGAAACTGTGCTGGCGTCGAGGCCGTAAGTACCTCACGGACAGTCACACGTACAGAACATCATCGAACAACTCACTTGTAGCTGTATGCCTGTCGCTACAAGCTGTGTTGAATTATTTTTGTAAACTTACTCGTTTTAGATAACTTTTATGGTGATTTAGTAACAGATAAATCACAAACGATTGGCAATTCAATTCTTATATTTATATGTTAAGTATTGTGTTCAGAAAAACCACAAAACTTTTTTTTTGTGTTCATAAAACGTTACTTCTACTAGACCATCTCGCATCCAACCTTACTATTTATCAGTAGAGTCCACTAAGTATATTCTTCTCATTCGGTCAACTTGAAGTCAGAAGAGCTAATTTACAACGATGAAATTGTCATAAAGAAAATCCTGCTTTATTTATGCAACATTGTCAGTACCTTTGCTTTGATGCAAAAAAAAAATTTTTTTTGGTAAACTTGAATACCTTGCATAGATCTCGTTTTCAATTGTTCATAACACATTGAGTTTTTATAGACAAGACTAGTACTTTTATGTTTATGTCATATGGTTAGTAACATTTTTCTATAAAATACCAAATTTTCTGTTAGACCTACTTGAATACAAAGCGTATAACAAATATTGAGGTCAATAACCAAGATAAAACTATCCTCTCTTCCGAGTTCGACCGAATTACAGACAGCTGCAAAGCTTGATCGAAATAAGTTCAATAGTTTTAGAGTTTATTTCGAACATATACATATCTGTGGATAATGTCCATAAAACTTATAGTGTTCAAGTAAATAAGGATTATATAATTACAGAAAGATATAATAAGGAAAAAAAGAAAACTTTTTTTCACAACAACTACGCTCTCGAGAAAGATATGACTTTGGTAAAAATTATACAAGATTCATTCTATTCGTGGAAGTAAAATGGAGAATTGTAAAGTTTTTTAGTTACAATGATACTTCTCTATCTTGAATCACCATTGTTTACACGCTAAACTTAATAGTCATCAACCTAAAAAAAAATTTTTCTCTATAGATGTGCGTATAATACTTACCTCTTTAACTCCATTCACTTGAATCCGTGCGTTCACAATTCCTTTCTCTAATAATATTTCTAAATGATTAGGAGAATCGTCCAAGGATGTTTTTATTAATAACCCATGTGATTTGAGTGTTTTGAATCGTAATGAAATTTCTTCTGCCTCTGTTATCGAGTCATCTGGCATAACGATTATCAGTTGCTGGCTTCCGTTGAGATGCAATGTTGAGGCGGCTAAATAAAGAAAAAAAGTAAATCAGAAATTTTGTGTAAATATATATTTATGTATACATATATATATATATATATATATGTATACATATATATATATATATATATATATATATATATATATATATATATATATATATATATATATATATATATAGGATTTAGGCGCAAGACCTAGCACAGAGAGAAAGGGACTAGAGTATCTAACTTAAATAGTCTCCAGCACTTTTTTCAGAAATGAGTTTTTACAATTATTTTTTCTTTGATTGCATAACCGACACGGTAGCCTAGTGGGTACAGCGTCAGCCTGGCGCGCCATGGGTTGGGGGTTTGATTCCTGGAAGTTTCCCTGTGTCTATCTATGCAAATGTGATACAATTTGGGTAGGTGACAGGATGGTAAGTCAGCTACAGACGCAATCTCGGAGTCACAATGTAGTGGCTGCGTCGTAGGTAGGATGTAGTCTAGTGAAGCGTGGATATATGAATGTATATGGTAAAGAATTGGATTGTAAAAATGCATAGATAGATTATTGCATTATTACATTAATTCATTTTTTATTCCATTTTTCGAGCACATTACGGATATACTATTTGCATAACAGCGCAGTATTATAATTTTTCTCATCATTACCGTATAACTAACAGAAAAAAAAAGAAAAAAAAAAGGACTTCTAATACCTTTTACCTCCTCGGAGTTAAAATTAGAAAACTTTTCAGACTCAATGACGAAGAGCGGGTTCAAAATATGAGCTGTAAATAATTTTTCATAGCAACAAAATTCAATTTTTGATGAGTATATTTTTTCGAACCATAGTAGTATGGAGCAACTTTTGCAGACCCTACTCCTGAGTGAGGGTTTATATTTACATATGTAAAAATAATTATATTAATAATTACTCTATATAATTAGAATGTTAATTGTATTTGAACTTTTTTCGATTATAAGAAGTATCATAAGTAGTTAAATTACATATTCATATATTATTGACGCATACGCATAACAGAGCCCTTGTATTGCAATTGAAAGCCTGACAGCCTTTAGACAGCAGCGACGTGTCATCTAAATTAAAAAATATAACGTACGATTCAACAGGTATGCTGGAAGTGCCTATGTGCAGTCCATGGTTTGGGCGCAAGTGGTGAGGGTGACGTTTGGTGGGACCGATGACGGCGCTGCGAGCTGTCTGAGTGCAAATATTAGGGTGCCTGCACATGACTACACGAAAAAAGTAAATAGAACGGAAACCGGATCCGGCGAGCAAGAATCGGTGTGGCGGGGAGACGTGAAGTCCAAGAGCAGTATGAGAAGCCCCTATGCTGGTATGCATTGATTTTAGAAGCGTTGAAAATATTTTTTGAAGACGGTTTCTTGTAGAGATTGAAGAAGAGAGTATTTTTGCCAAATGTCATTTTTTTGAAATAATTTTTACTATTGTTTATTTAGAATTAAAATTGAGCAGAATGCATTCCGTTACCTTTCACTGCTTACGCAGCGAGAACCGCTCGTTTTTTTGAAAAAAATTTAGATACTTTTTTTCTAGAGAATCCAATTAACGAGAGCATATACTCACCTGTTACAGGTAAAAAGGTACAGCACTCTGAACGCGCGCACTAAAACTGACCATTTTGAGCGTTCTGACGATGAGCGTCTTTTTAATTGATTAATATAGAAACATTTCTTATCGTTTAAAAAATTAAAAAAAATTATAGAATATTCAGAATCATTTTCTGAATATTTTTCCGTTAGAATTTTAAAGAAAAATTAATTTTATCGATTTTTTATGGTGTGGTGAATGTCTTTTTTTTTGTCAACTTTGCGCATCTGTATTTTTGAACAATCTTTGAACATTTTATTGCCATTTCAGCGGATAGAATTTTTCCCGCTCTACAAAATGGCTATTTCATTTTTTTCAAAAAAATTTTTTCCCCCTTTAAAAATCGATACATATTTTTCGTAACTTTCACCCCTATGTGAGGGCTAAAGATATTATTGTCTTAAAAAATGATCTGTAGCGAACTTTTCTCACTCCATCTGGAAAAATTTTTTTCCAGCAATGTTTATAAAGTATTCTTATCAACAATTCTCGATTACATTATTTTAAAATTCACACATTTTTATTGTTTTTTTTAATATTTTTTTTGCTATAAACAATATGATTTTAAGGATCTACTTTCTTGAAATAGTTTTACACTTGGTAATTTCGCCAGATAAATTTCTTACTCTTCTCCTTGGAAAACGACGATTCGTCGTACAATGTAAAATATAAGCATCTTGATTTTCTAAAAATTTTTTTATTTTGTTGCAAGGTGTATTTTTTGCATAATTGAACCACCGCGTTGCACCAGAAAAGCTCGTAGGGTGTTCGAAACTATAATATATTTTTTTTTGAGCCACCGTTACTTGAATGGAAATTTCAACCAACGCTTTCTACATTTCGGCTTTGGAAGACCTGATCGTCATTGTGATGTACCGCTACGTGTACTCGAAAAATCATCACCTTTATTTATATCCGATTCACTCTGCAATTTCATTGACGAGGAATCTCCAGCTATCATATCTGGTATGATGAGCCGGCGTCCACGGGTTAAGTTTGTTGGTGTAGATGTGCCTACTGTTTCAGCATCAAATAATTCTTTATTTTCTATGTACTTGCGTGGCACGGAGCCTCAATAAATAACGCGTGCAAACTGATTGCTGCGTATAGCGTATTCATTCTTTCTAGACCTCATAGCATCATTTAACAAGTCTATAATATTTGAACCTGGGATAAGACTACCTTTGATACTGACAAACCCTGTATTATCCCATGTGATAATATTATCAGACATATTTTTTGAACGCCTGTAAAGAAATTTTGCCGTTAACTGAAATTTTCTTTGAAACACTATCAATAACAGGTTGATCAATGTTATGATCAGGTGATTTATTTTTCGACTCCCCTGCTTTATCATGCAATAATTTTACACTATTATAGGTATATTTATTTTTAATTAATTTTGGTGTTATGGCCATCTGATTCTCATTGTTAATAAGGCGTTAATAACTTTCTAGCACTTGTGAGTAAGCATTTCACTTCTCACGTTCATTTTGATAAGCTGTAGAGCATAATATTTTATTCATCTCTTGATCGAGACGTGCCAAAACTGAATCATAAATTTTATCCAACCTATTTGTTGATAATTTTATATCAGTTGTTTAAAAATTTTTGTAGTTTCCTGTAGTATAAAAACCATTTTTTCATCATGCTTTATTATTTTTCAACCATTTATTAGTTTTGACATCAATCTACCTGAAATAGGGGCTAAAAGAAAAAGAAAAAAACCCGCTACCTTGCTGGAAAATTATCTTCTTTTTTTCTTTGGTATTTCTCTTTGAAGCTAAGCACCAAAAAAGGATGCGTGCCGTTTTAATTTGCATTTCTACTCGGCTGTCAATGAATCGTTGCCCCGTAAAATATTAAGAGATCATTTACGTATATATCTCACGAACCGTGGATCAGCTTTTCGTAAAATAGGAGCTCGTTGATCTGGTCTCAAAAAAAATTAAGCGCTGAGAATTGCTGCTTGCTTTTTCCGTGATACATTTGCTGCCATCACTATGTGACAATTGATAATTTATTTGAACTCTTATCGATGTATTTTCACTAAACATAAATGTTATGTTTCGGATCATTTAGAAATATACATTTGCGAAATCGACAATTTTCAGGTGTTGATTGTTTTAAGCCCAATAATAGGTATCCATGAGGCTGTACTGTTGCGTCATAACGTATTTCTTGGAAAAAACGTATATTTTCTTGACACCTTTGACGAGCTAAATGCTGGACATGTGAGCGGTCACGTGGGTTTCCAAAAGTTACAATGTAATTAGCATTAAGTAAAATATCCCATTGTCCTCTTCCTTGATGGAATAAATTTTGCGTTGTAAATATAACGCTTCAATAATGATGATGACTACCCTTCGTAATAACATCTATGACTGTGCTGCTTGATAACTCACGCAAAAGATCATTGATAATAATTAATTTTGGCTGCTGATCAGACGTATAATCATTAACTGGTAATCTCTCTCTTGTTATAACTATCTTGCCACTCAGCATAGTAAAAAAATAATCTTGAAAAACGTGTATTACTCATATGATGTGTAGTTTAAATAAATTTCTTTACAAAAACAGTCTTTCCACAGCCTGTAGGGCCACAAATAATAGAATTCCATAGATGTTTCCAACGTGAATCCATCATGTATGATCATATTTATGATAATTGGAAAGCAATTATATTCTAAAAATATTCATCACAAAATCATCCAGAGGCTAACTACTTTTTGCTGACAGTAGTCATTTGAAGCGTTGTTTTCTTGGTAAGAAAAATTGAGGGTCGCTAAACTTTATAAAGTCGTCAGTCTGAAAATATTGTCTCAAAAATATATACGTTCGTTAAAGTTTACGCGATCATTAAAGTACGATAAGAATAAATCTTAGTTTTGACAACGTTTCATATCTCATCATGACCATCATTATTGATGTAATTTAGAACTATGTATGCCAAAAAACTGCTCTACTGAATATCAGCACCGGTTAGCATTGGCGGTAACAATTTGTAAATCAAAAATACAACGTGGCTGCGAGACAAAATATAATTTCTTATAGGATGCTGGTCATGAAACTTGGAAGCCGAAATTAGAAGCCAATCTATTCTGTCTTCAAAAACCTTGGACACTCAAAAGCAGCTAGACCAATATTTATGTGTCGGATGATGATGACATTTATGAAAAGTACGACTTGGAGAAAAATAACAATGAAAATAAACCATATCCTTTTTGGCATTAAAAAGAGCCTTGTAGGATACCATATCTGGACAAAGTGACCGTATATTTACACTATTTTGACTAAATTCTACGAGGTTAGTATCAATGGGGCACCGAGCGAGACGTACGATTTGCGGCCTGGAAATATAGTGGAAAATTTTATAGAAATAAGAAAGTATATAAGTTCATAAAAA